CCCGCACAGTATCAGTCGCAGATGATTCAGAACAAACCCATTACAACTACAATGTTATTATTAGTCAATAAATATACAGACGATCAAGCGGAGAAACAATGTTTGAGACTTTCTCACCACGCTAGTTTTTACAGTTTAGTGTTTAAAACAACGGTGAAGATGTAGCGATGTTAAAAATACATCAACAATTCGCTTTAAACAGTAACAAGCAGGTGTGTTTATTATTTAAGAGTACAAGCAAACTGCTGGAGGTCGATTCCTGTTTGCGATTGGCCGGCAACAACATGGTCGGGTGCAGACAGGGCAACCCATACAACACAACAAATAAACATATATTCTCACCTACACATCACATTAATCTGATGTTAATGTATAATTTGATCGTATTCACAACACCAAAACATCTCCAAGTGATAAAAACGCCATTATTGTGAGAATATTCTGGGAAAAGTTGATCAAAACTTTGACCTGGTTCTCGCTGACACCAAGAGCACGCACTTTTTACAAAGGCCAAAAAGGGCATGCGTTCTACAAACGACTGCGATTCACGTGTTGAGTTTGTTGTAAAAATTCACAGCGTACAAGATGTTTTAAACACTATTTTAATTTAATATAAAGCTAAATGTCTAATTATTATCAAACACAATCAAAGAAACCGTGCCACAACAAGTAAATATTCGCTAAAAACATGAAAACATGCGGGGACCCTTGCGAGCAGACGATCTCATTATATATGTATAATTGTTGTTTGAGTAGTTGAAGGAAGTTTAAAGCGATAGTTGGCAGTTATCAAATGATAAACGAAGAAAACATCGATGAAAATTGCTTCTGACAACAAATATATGCTAAAAAATGGCGATATTATTGTCAGATCTTACCTTGAGAGATTGAGAAACCCTCCTGTCTGTGAAATACCCGTATACTGTGATGTTTTCAGACGCGGGACCTCTAAGTGACTCCTCATTGACGCTGCTGGGTCAAGGCCGAAGACATGAATTCCTACGCGCATACTTCTCCTACTTCCAAATAAATGTACATTACCCATATATATTTACAGTTATTAACATATTTCTATTTGAAAACAATTTATATGTCATATTACATGATTTTAACTTCAGTTTAAAGATGTAATTATTGGGATATTCTACAAGAAATAGTCCGTGAGGACCTATGTTTATATTTATAGACAGTTTAAAAGACGCCATTTGATTGGTGGTTTCCCATGACTGGTATATAAACATAACAAAGAAGAAAATTATATTTCATTCACATAATTTCATTGTTTATCAACAATGACATGCTACCTGTTTCTGTACCCAGGTGTTACCAATTGAAAAAATACATAATTTTCATCACGTTATTTTAATTACTTGCAATTGTGGTCTCTGACCCTTAACCTTTCTTTTGTTATCCACGCAATATTAGGTTGGTCATTACGTGTGTCCAGTACACACGTGGACTGTCGATCCTTTTTTTTTTTAAGTTTCTCCATGATGGACGCCAAACTGTTTAACTGGTTAACATCTACCTTTTTGTCTCTACATGACTCTCCTCCTCTCAGAAATTCGTGTTATCGGGAGGGGTATCCAGAGTTTATCTTCTCATGACATGTTTATTACTAGTAATAATTTAATCAAATACATTATGTCCACGCCTTCTGTGTGATAACTAGGTTCTAGTTCTTGTCCCAACCCACGCCTCCCATACTGGATATTTGTTTGATTCTTCATTATTCATATCATTTACGTTTGATCCATCACCCCCTCCCCCGCCAACTTACACATTTTGGGTTAATATAGGAGTGTAAAAAAACAAAATGCATGGACCGGGGGGGGGGGGGGGGGGGGGGGGGGGGGGGGGGGTGGGGGGGGGGGGGGGGGGGGGGGGTGAGCACCGCATAGGCAAAAATTTAGTATCGGCTCAACCTTTTTTTTCCCCAAATAAAGTGAGAAAATTGTGAAGGACCCCCAGCCACACCTTTCTCACAATCTTATAAAACTTATTAGTATCGGAACTCTTCGCTGGCTGCTGAAGATGGGGACGGAGCGCTTATGGGAATGCCCCGAGAACTGTGATGACGGTTCTTGAATCATAACTGAGTGTGGGGAACCCTTATGTCCTTTTATTCCCCGCCCCCCCCCCCTTTCCCTGCACCAATCAACTTGTAAAGGGCCCAAAATGCCGAGGTTTGTTCATAACCACCTTCTTCTTCTTCATAAAAAGGAAAGTCGGGAGATGTGAAGCGGCGTCATTGCACACGGTTATAAACCACAAGTGCTTTGCCACTAGTACGGACAGCTGATAAGAATTGTCCGCTTGTGTCGCCTTCCGCACGTAACTCTGTAGCAACAGCGACGTTCCTCCATTTACCCCAGTGTCAACTCTGGTACCCATTCCCTAGAGGCTGGGTGAACCCCGGAAGCCGCCCTGTTTCGAAAACCATCCGTGGGCTGCAGCTGGATTTGAAAGCGAGCCTCTTATCGACTGCGCTAACGCGGCCTCTTAAGATTTGTAGTTTACAACTAGACTGTGACATTTCAACGTTTCAGTCAAACAGATCTGATTTTAGTAAACCCCTATTTGACTTTTTCTTATAATTAAATCAATCGTTTCTTGCAACCACGATTCGTGTTTTTTAAACGATAAACATTGTACTCCTAGCCTGGCGCCATCTATCGTCTGCTCAATCTAAGAATACACCATCATCATCGTGTGCATTGTGCTTGTGGGCAAAATGGGGAGAGCGGGAAATATACCTTCACCAAATAAGACTGAAACAAAGTGAGAGATAAATTGGCGGGTATTAAGTGGCTCTTAGAAAAGAAACAGTAATCAAAGACAAGCGATACATTAGAAATATGTAGTTTCTAGAGCGATTAGATTCAAACCTGTCATATTTTAATGGCGGCCATCTTGAGTCCCAGAAGAAGTCCGTCTGCTTACAAACGTCAATTAAAGTCTAAAAAGTGTACAACCCAGTGTCCCGTCTTGAACCTCTATTTAAAAAAAGAAAAGAGAAGTCTCTTTCTAAACACCCACTGCAGAAACCGAACACCGGTAAACATCAAGAATTGCAATGTGAAACGGTTTTACTAATTATTTAGCAACATGGCATCATTATATACATATATGATAAGAATGCAAATAGCGCCATTGAAGTTGGAACACGTGTCCGTCCCCGCTGTGAATAATTTATCGTGATTGTATCATTATATTTTCTATCTTGTCATAATGCTTATGCCCTAAAGTGTTGCAGGGCAGACAGATTTAGTTGAGTGTCTTCTGTTAGTTTAGTAGATTGTGGTTATGTCATACTGCGTTACTACAATGTCTCTTTTACTCCTCCACCCGTTTCTGTCTTGGTCGGCATCTTGACTTGTAGCTTGTTCATGGCCATATTGGAGCCGGTCGTGGCTTGCTGTTCTTATGTCGTACGCTCTAGCTGCTGACTGGTTATCTTCCATTCTGACCGGATGTCCGAACCATTTGATTCTTTGATGTTTTATGAAATCATTCACCGGTACTTTTGTTCTTAGTTCTTTGTCAGTGACTTTGTCTCCTATTGTTGTCCTCATCATATTATTCAGCATATCAACTCGCATGTAATATTTATATATCTTCTTCTTCTTCTCCTGCGTAAATCTTAAAAGGCAGTTAGCAGGTTGATTTGTAGTTTACAGCTAGACTTTAACATCTCAAAGTTTCGGTCTAACACATCCGATTTCAGTAAACCCTGCTCAACTTTTTGTTATAATTATATCTTTTTTTTTTGTTGCAACTACGATTCGTTTTTTTTTTAAAGATAACAATTGTACCTTTACTTTGGCGCAATCTATTGTCTGATTAATCTAATAATACACCATCATCATCATGTGCACTTGATTTTTGGGGGAAGGGGAGAGGGCGGGAAACATGCCTTTCATTTTAACCCTTCTAATCACATAAAGTGGCGAAGCCCATGCAAAAAAAAGGTGGGGGGGGGGTGGGAATCAGCAGTGCAATTAAAAACTAGAACTGGCAAGCACAGGAGCACGATTTGTGTGTATTTGACCATGTGTAAACATTAATCTATTCATCCCAGTTCTTGTCCCGTCTGGCTGGTCCGTGGCCACACATAAAGTGGCGAAGCCCATGCAAAAAAAAGGTGGGGGGGGGGGGGGGGAATCAGCAGTGCAATTAAAAACTAGAACTGGCAAGCACAGGTTATGTCGTACGCTCTAGCTGCTGACTGGTTATCTTCCATTCTGACCGGATGTCCGAACCATCTGATTCTTTGATGTTTTATGAAATCATTCACCGGTACTATTGTTCTTAGTTCTCTGTCGGTGACGTTGTCTTCTATTGTTTTCCCCGCCATATTATTCAGCATATCACCTCACATGAAATATTAGTTAGTTGGTTACGAATATTTACAGGATGTTGCAGAACCAACCCAAGCATTTTTTGTCCTTTGTGGTTTTTCTAGGCAAATTTACATCGAGTAGTTTGCCATAACTTCTGGACGGTAGGCTTCTCAATACTGCTGTCGAAACTATCGCAAAAAAACAAGGCCGTCAGCTGGGATCGAGCCCGGAAATACGAAGCGCGTTCGCAACACCTAAGCGACAGACACCGACACATGCAATATTGCGTTTATATTTTTCTAGGACTGTCCCTGTCTGAATACTAATTTAAAAACATACATCATAGCACACTTATAGATGCTCCGTCTCAAGCAGCAAATGTCTTAAAGGGGATGCTGGCACTTTTTGTTTTTACTGTGAACTTTATTATTATTTATTAGTGCAGGTATACATGCTCTCGGAGCTAGATCCTTGTTGTTCAGGATTAATGCACACTTCTGCTCTACAGACCACCCAGCATAATTTCCCCCAGTCTGCCTCTAATTTCCATGATGTTCTCTATCATTCAAATTACATTAAGAAAGAACACTTCCTAACATTCTCCGGAAAAGTTTTGCTGTGTTCAGACTTTTTCTGTGTTTGTTTACATTACTATTTTTATGCTGGTGCTTCATCCTTGTCTCCCTTTGTGGCCCTTGTGTAGATCAACTGGGAGTTGTGTTTTGACACCAAGTGAATTAACCCTTTTAAATGTAATTCTCTCAGTGTTAACTTCGTCCTTCTTAGGACGAATTTTTTTTTCATTTTGAGCCCTACTCTGGCTTTTGCCAGGGGCCGCAATATAGGCAGGCCATATATGGCCAAATGTCTGAACGCGGTTTCTGGGACCTCTCCACGGCGATCCTCATCCACATGGTGGCACTTTGTGTCATCGGGTGTTTATCGCTTGTGTGATGTCCTGGTGGGGTAGAAATTCAGTTCAGTTCAGTGCCTGCTTGGCCAACGAGCACCTGACCTTTAACCTTTCAGACACCACAGAAGGAGTAATAAGCTTGTAGCTGGGCACCTCCTTGTACAGTTTGTCACACTGTGTTTTGGTTAACATTTAGGCTGTAATATTTGCACCTTTTGGCCTAACACATTAAATTTCAACAAAACCCCTATTAGTCATCTCTTAGTCTTAATGTGTATACGCTAACTGTTCCCGTAGCACGCTGATTATACACACGCTGTTCTCTTCCTCTCATCCGTTCCCCTTTGCCGGATCCAGACTTAATTCTTCGTTCACACATTCTTGCACATGTTATTTCATCTAATCTTGTGTCTTTTTTAATCGTTCATATACGGTCTTCAGAATATCTCCATTGTCCAGTACGAGTGTTCCTGTAGCTTTCGCTTTTAAAGCTAGACAATCCGCTCTTTCCTTACCGAGCCCTCCTGCATATCACGAAGTGTATATCCCCGTAATTCCCTGCAATGTTGGCGTACTGATGCTTGGTATCCACTCATGCCATGTTAGTCCCCTTTAAACCTTCCGCAGTGCCGACCTAGAAGCAGACACACTAATTCCTCTAGTACTTTATTTTCTGCTATCCAATTCAGAGTTGTCTCCACTTTGTCTGTCTAGCTCTGCGTTTGAATTTTTCTAGGACTGTCCCTGTCTGGCACTAACAGTTGAGTTGAGGCAAGAATTGTCATCACAGCACTCGGGGAATTACCATGCTTGCTCCGTCCTCATCTTCAGCAGCTAGCGCAGAGTTCCAATACTGATGGTACCAGTTACAATTTGGTTATATGTCCATCTTGCCTTTTCTCTGGGTGAAGTAAACCAGCCCCTCTTGTTACATCCATTTACCTCATTCTCTCCAGGCCATAATAATCTTTTTTTCCCCCTACTGATTCCGTTGCTTGTTGCCAAAGGGCATTGATGTGGTGGATCATCTACCTTTTCATGTATCAATTCACCACCTAGTGGGGTAGATCTTACCAGTCTGATTGCCTGTTCATTACCCACCACACCAGCATTGCCTGGAGAAAAGATACAAAGTACGCTAACTACCTGTGACCTTTCCAGTGAAGCTTACCACTTTACTCACAGCATCCCTGTCTTCACCTTTTTTCAGCATGCTTTCATAGTCTGTTATAATTACGACATGTGTATGTATCTTGTTCTTTAGCCACCGGAGAGCTGCAGTTACCGCCTCCACCTCCATTCTCATGCTAGACGTTGTGGTGACGTATGCTAGGCTGTCTTTCACTAAAGATTTTCCTTTGGCTTTCGTTGGCACTTCTCTTTCCCCTCACCACCGAACCATCGGTATAGATAATCAGATCACCTGGGCGTGAATTGTCGGGAATCAACTGTTGGACTTCCACCTCCGTAGCACCCGCTGGCCACTCTCTACACACCCGGCCCACGGTGAACATAAACCTTCACAGGTGTTCGTTTGGCACTAACAGCGCAGAGTTGGTACAGCTTTATTGTTGTATATATAGAAATACACATAGACATCTTCTGTGATCTTCTAAGAGCGAAGAGCGTAGATTACCGGATAGTAGATGCCGTGTCAGAAACTATGAGCAGAATAGACCAAACAAAAGTTGCAGATCGGGACAAAATAAATAAATTTGGGTTAAAGGCTACTTTCATTCTTCTTCTTAGGTTTCACCGGCTGTAAGCTCCAACCGATATTTTTAGTTGTATGTTTACTTGTGCACTCTAGTCTTGTTTCAGAACATGAGTTTTGAGTACACATCCGTTTTATAAGGAGGACTTATTTGTATGCAGACTGTTGATGAATTCCCCCACTGTCATGCTCTCATGCAGATGTACTCGAGTCGTTAAAGAGTAAGAAATGTTGCTTGGAAACTGTTCTAGGCTGGGAATTTAATAATCTCATAAATATATATATATATACATATATATATATATATATATATATATATATATATATATATATATATATATATATATATATATATGTGTGTGTGTGTGTGTGTGTGTGTGTATGTGTTTGTAAAAGAGTGTGTGTGAGAGGAGACATAGTTTATGTAACAAATGTACATTTGATCAATCAGAAAAACTAACAATGATTGATCGAAAATGGGCTAAAAAAATGTTATAGTTGCTACGGAACCAGGGAATTTTGATTCTCCCAGCCTTTCCTCCCCACTTTCCCTCCCTTTGTGCTTCTCCACTCTCCCCACACGATTAGAAATTCTCTTTTTAAGTGTTAGTATTTACATATCGCATTTTTAAAATTAATTTGTTACATTATTTTTGAAATTCAGCAAAGTTATTTTTCCAACTGGGAGCCACTAGACACTCGCCTATTGATCTGAAGATCGTGGTTTCGTTTCCGGTTGGAACCAGAATCCCCCCCCCCCCCCCCCCCCCCCCCCCCCCCCCCCGTTTCAAATAATGGCCTTGGCTCCAGGGACAACCCATCCCTAAACGGTTACCAGGTAAAGTCACAGGAAGTAAATGTGGCCTGCCTGATGTTTTCAACATCACCCACCAAGTGCCGATTTGTCTATAAAATATAGGTCTAGCCCTATATGCCCAATACACCTAAAGGCGTGTAAAAGGGCCCTTCACTTTTTATTTTATTTTTTACTTTTACACACTTAAGCAAGGCATATAGCCACTGACAGCCTTCCCCTAAAAATGATGTCGGCTCTGTGGCTAAGTCGATGCGAACGTTTCGTAATGCCGGGTTCGATCCTATCTGCGGGTCATGCGCCCTCCGTTGGTTTCGACAGTGGTATCAAGAAAGCTGACCGTCCAGTAGCAGTGGCAAACTACTGGACGTAAATTTGCCTAGAAAAGCCACACAACAGCCAGGGGCTGTTGGGGTGGGTTCTGCAACGTCCTGTAAAGGATACGCAACTAACCAGCTAGATAGACTTCTTTAACCAGTACACTCAACAGTGAAAGGAAACAAGCCTACTTTGGTCGTACAATGAGACGAGGGGCTTTAGAACATCGTGCACGTGGGAAAGATCATCATAGACGAGGTAGAGGCAGATTTTGATAAATGATGATGAATAGTGAAAGACGACAGCGAGAAGGTATCTCATCAAATCAAGCAGAGTAATGCGTCTGACCAAAACACTAAAGATAATGCAGTCGAAAAGACACCTGGCCTTAAGAATAAAGTGTGCAGAGCAAGCTATAGGGAACCATGAAGGACCTGATACTGACATGCGAGTTCATAGAATCAACCCACTTGATGATCTGATCTGAGAATACGAAACCGAACGCAAAGAAGACGAAGAAAATACTTTCCCTGTGGTTTCCGATGCCCCAGTGTGGATGAAAAACCAGAATAGACCAAGAGTCGACCAACAGTGAACTTTCTTCGAAGTCGGAATTCGTCTGCCAGTGCAGCAAGGAGAAACCAACTACACACAAATAAGGCAGTAAAACGGATGTGCGCGCAAAACTCTGGCCCTAGCACAAAGTTAAAGTCCAAATGTTCGAACAACCAGGACTTTCCGCTAGAGATTACAGCCGCTGAACAAAGAGGAGATGAATAAGAACGGAAGTATCCACATATGTAGAGAGGAAGTAAATGATAAATTTAGTCATAAGTTACAGAAGCTAGGGCAACCGGTGTAAAGTAGTCACGCAGTGGATACCGTCCCACTATGGAATTCCGGGAAACGAAAGAGCTGATAAACTAGCCAAGGAAGGTGCAAATGAAGAACAACCCGACATACCAGTCTCTTATCATTAGAAAAAAAAGAATAATCAAATCAACCAGAAAGCCACCGAAACTGGCACAAGACGATTACCATAATATGGACACACCAAAGCAGGTCATTATCCTTCACTTTAGAACAGGACAAAATCGACTTCGCTGCCACATGCACACACAATTCAAGATTGCCGAATCAGCCATGTGTACTGGCACCTGAGACAACAGATCACAAAAAAAAAAAAAAAAAAAACTGTCCCAAATACAACGCTTCCAGACAAAACTTCTGGCCAAAAGAGACACTTGTGGAAGTCAAACTTTACGGCCGCTTAGTGAATTACAAACGACAATGAAGTTCATACTAGAGACAGCATTGCAGATATAGATAATTTTTTTCATGCTAACGAAAGATCATCATCATCATCAAGTGCCTAGTCATCTGGCGTAGGGGTTCATGCATCTACGCAGATCTCGGTCTTTATGCTGTGGAAAAATTCCACTGATTATATTCGTCTATGCCACTATCTTAAGCCATCCACCATCATTTCTCTTAGTCTGCCTTTCTACCAGTGATCTTTCCAGTCGTGCTTCTTTTCTCATTATATGACCAAAGAACGTTGTTTGTCTCCTTCTTAATGTTGTATATAAGGTTCTACTCTCATCAGCCATTTCCAGGCAATCATTGTTAGTTTTTCTGGCAGCCAAATATATTCACGACATTTTTCTCAAGAACCATATCTTAGTTGCCTCCAAATTTGTCTTAATTTGTTTGCTCACATTCCACGATTAACTGCCGTATAACAGAACAGGCTCAATGAAACATTTCAGTACTCGTTTTCTGATATTTAATGATAGTTATTTATTACATAAGATACTCCGCATCTTCTGAAAAGCTGCCTTCGCCTGGCCAATTCTACTCTTAATTTCTGTCACACGTAGTTCATCTGATGACCCCAAATACGTAAAGTGCAAATGCACTAAGTTTTCAAAATTGCTGGAAACTTTATCACGCGCCCCCTGCTAACAAGGCGGATTCCAGATGTCCTGTTCAGTCTCCAAAGTAGTGTAACCGCCGTTATGTGCAGGTGAGGGAGGACAGCAGGTAAAAAAAAAAAAACTAGCAAGACAGGAACCACAACACTGTCGCTGTCGCCAGGTCACAAGCCTCTAGGTCACCGGGTCAAAGGTGGAGGGTAACGCCAAGGGAGACCACTCTCAAGCAACATTTTTAATCGAGTCAGGAACCGGAAATCACGAGAGCAGACAAACTTCCGTAGTCATATGACAGCCCACCAAGATGGTAAGCGGCCGTTCTTCTCCTCTACTCTTCTCATTTTTACAGCAAAGTTAATTAATTATAATGGAATTTGCTTTTTAAATACAAAGAAATTATACTTGTATATGTAGACAAATGGTGTGTATATTTGTTAAGACTGTTATTACTATTTCCTTTCAGGAGTTTTGGTGTTAGCCCCGGGACACCGCCTACTGCTATTGTCCGTTCCGTTTGCATTATTATTTTAATATATTCATTCAAGGAAAAATCGACATACACAGCCCTGATTTGTTATTCGGCTTTTTGTTTCTGTGTACACGGCTGGATTAAATGTAGTTTGTAGTATAATTTTGAGGCTGGTTAGGTCAGGTGGTAAAGGGGACAGCTGGCATACGGGTTCGTTTGGACTGGATCTGCTTCAGCAGACAAGCCTCAACTACCTCCAGTAGAATACTGACCACAAAAAACGTTTTCTGCTGTCTTTCAGAGCTTGCAAAAGAGCTTATTATCTTACTCTGTGAAGTAAAATGGTGTTTAAGAATTATATACACTGTCTGCTTATTTGAAAAGCTTTTAGGGACTTCTAATATTCTTGTTTTCTAATTCATGCTACTTAAACTTTCATAGAAAATTAGTCTTTTTATGCAACACTATACAATTTAAAACTTTTATGATAATTTGTAAATGGATCGCCAAAGTATATTTAATAGGCTAGAAGGCTGGATCAACTGTCCTTCTTTATTTTTGTTATTCATAATTACACAAAGGTCACCCCAAAATGTGCCTTTCTCACAATATATAACAGTTGGCCATTGTGGATCTGCAACACTTTCTACCATCACTCACCTTGGTTTTACATGTTCTAAAACTGTTGTTATTCTCCTCATTTTGCCCTCCATTTTATATTGCTATATACTCTTTGCTGATACACAAAGGTACATCACACCAACACAAAAATAAGAATTGTAATTTATATGAAACAGTCAGTGTTTAGGATTGATTAGTTTTAGTTTTGTTTAAAACAAAACTTGCATAAATGCAAAGAATTGTTACCAATGCCAGAAATACTGAGTTATACTTTAAGAATTGTGCCACTGACCTTGCTGGACCTTGGGCGACTTTCACTGTGCAGACAGGATCTTCATAAAATGTAGATTTTATGTTATAAATTTAACCTTTATAATCATTCATATTGCATATATTTAAATGGGGTTGAAAAAAAAAACCTACATAAAATATAGTGGCAAATGATTATTTATTATTGCCAAGTTTTCTTTTGCATTTGACTTCATTTATAATCATTGGTCCTGTCTGGGTCACAAACTGGCCTGTGCCTCTAAGGTCCCTCCTTATTTTGTAATATAGCTCTAGTAGTCTAGATCGCTAACCTCTGCTGCAGTATATGATCAGGAGTCTGTCTGTGTGTGCTGCACTTTTGCAGGTGACAGATTCTTCTATGCCAGTCTTGTGTAGGTGTGCTTTAAGACCAGTGTCCTTTCTGAAGTCTACAAATTGTTTACTTATTCTTTCCTGTTATTTTGTTGTTCACCCGTTTCTCTCAATTCTTCCTTCTCCGCCTCTCCCTTGAAGAACAGCTGTTGGACTGGTTTGGTTTCTTTGTAACTTTGTGCTGGAAAAGGTTGTGGAAGTTTACTCGCAGCTCTTGCCAGTTCATCTGTTCTCTCATTTTCCAGGACCACTTCAGTTTCCTTGGAAAGCAAGCTGGCTTGGGTCTTCAGTCCTGCAGTTAGTCTTTTTTTCTGAATTGATAGTCCTTGGAGAACAGGCATTGAGTCACAGAGTAAAACATGTCCTATGTATTCTTTAAATGATGAGGTACTAGACTGCAGAAAAGGAAGGGAGTTGCCTTTAGCTCTGAACTTTGTGCAGATGTCACCTGCTGAGAGAGGGGGTTTTTCTTCTCTGCTGCAGGAGTTTTTGATATGTATGCCTCAACTCCGGTTTTGTTTCCAGGATTGTCTCCATTTGAGCTTTTTATGAGAAGTATCCTTCCCAAGGTTATTATTAATAGGCCAAGTATAAAACCTGTTAGGTTAATTGTTGTCAACTTTCAGGGAACATTATTGGCAATATGTGATGATTAGGACTAGCATTTGCTGAAGTGGAAAGATGCTCTATCATTTAAAAACAAAAAAGCTGTCTGAAGTCGAACTGGATAACTTAAAAGCAGATGTGACAGGTTTGTAGTAAAAAAAGAACAGCACAACAGTAAATGTGCTAAATGGTCCATATGAAATGCTGTGTCTGTTTCTGATCGGCAGACGACTGAACGAGATCGCACAATGCAGCCCCTGATGAAGGTGGCGGATGCCGAGCATGAGAGTATGTACGGTTACATTTATACCGTCTCTGGTCCCGGTAAGCATTCTTGTTGATGAAATGTTGCTTTTGTTACATCTTATAGTTGATGAAATGTTGCTTGTTCTGTTACATCTTATAGTTGATGAAATGTTGCTTGTTCTGTTAGGTCTGATTGTTGAAATGTTGCTTGTTCTGTTAGGTCTGATTGTTGAAATGTTGCTTGTTCTGTTACATATGATTGCTAAATTATATTGAACTGAGTAGGTTCTGGTTAAAATCATGTAGTTTACCAGTATTATATTTAGTAGATTGTTAAAATTTTTCGATTGGCAAATTTTAGATGCGTTAGACAAATATGGGCATCAAACGGGTTGACAAAATTCTAGATGACCTTAACATAGTGCTTTTGAGTTCAACACAAGAGAAAACAGACCATTTGCAGAATATTTCAGGGCAAATGGGTCTCCAAATTAGCACCGCAAAAAAAAAATTTTTTGAGTTTACCAACAGTTCAGATGACATCAAACTAAACAATCACATTCTTGAAAAAGCCAACAGCTTTGCATATCTAGGGAGTGAGGTGACATCTATATATAGGGGATTCAGTGCCATAAATATCATTTATAATTGCATTGGTATCTAGTACAAACTGTCAAACTTCTGGAAGTTAAAAACATTCAGCAATCACACAAAACTTAAGATCTTCAACTCTTGTGTGATTCCAGTGCTAATTTACGGATGCAAGTGTTGGAAAGCAACAAAATTAGACAGTTTTGAGAATAGATGCCTTGGAAGAATGCCAAATCTTCACGGGACTGATTTAAGATCTTATACGCAAATATTAAGAGGGACCAAGCAAGATAATGTGTCCGGTTTTATAAGAAAACGCCGCTGGAACTACATTGGCCATGTAGTCAGCATGGTTAAGACCAGACTCCCACATAAAGAACATATGGACACTGAAATGAAAAATAAATTGGGGAAGACAGAGAGAGAACCTGCATAGAACCATCGAAGGGAAGGCTCAACCATGGGCCTAACAAACATCCAAGACCTACAACAGGTGGCGATGTATTGCCTGACATGGAGAGCGATGACCTCAGCCCTATGTGCCGCCTTAGGCTCAAGGGAAAAGACAAACTAACTAAGACTGTAAGAATCATGTATAGTTGATATGTTTGTGATTCAGTAGACAAGCTTAGTCTTTTACGAGCATTCAGCAGAGTTGTGAAAACCTTGTTTGGTCGTCTGGTGTTAGGTCTGGCAAACTGTTGCTAACGTCAGCATAAATGTCACCTCTTTGACTGAATGAAATGTCATTAATGTGAATGAATTGTCATTTAACTGAGTGAATTGCCATTAAATAAATGAACTTCCATTAACTGATTGAACTGTTATTTAACTGAATAACCTGTTATTTTACAAATTAAACTGTCATTTAACTAACCGGTCATTTAACTGATTGACCAGTCATTGAATGGTTAAATTTTAACTGAATGGACTTTCATGAACTGATTGAACTGAAACCATTAACTGATTGTTAACCTCTAACAGTGGTGACTGCCCAGAACATGGCTGGAGCGGCCATCATGGAGCTGGTGCGTGTAGGACACTCAGAGCTAGTCGGGGAGATCATTAGGCTGGAGGGAGATACCGCCACCATCCAAGTCTACGAAGATACCTGTATCCTTGTTTCATCTGCTTTGTGTGTATGTGTGTGTCTTTTTCAGGAGCCGCTATAGTGAAGTGACTAGAGGATGGTAGGTTCAAATCTGAAATGGAGCTGTACTTGATTTGTTTTCTAAAAACGACCATGGCTCACAAGTTGACCCTAGCATAAAGGAGACGAAGTCCCCTTTCCCTGTGGTATCCATGTGAGGGCTGTTTTGGCAGGTATATCAGGATTAATTCTCATAATGTGGCCGAGCCATTTCAATCTTCTCTTGAAGTAGTTTAGTGTTAGAGATTGTACCTGGCCAGCAAATTTTAAGAATTCTACGTAGAAATGTGTATTGAAAGGTGGATAGCTTGCTTGCATCCTTTTGGGTCATTCTCCAGCATTCTGCTTCATAAAGAAACAAATATCACAGCCTACCTGCAACACATAACACAACATGACTGGACCTTTTAAAAAATAAGCACAAAAGAAGTGTATTTGAGTGTTAGAAGAGCACCACGCGACAACGTGTGACCCAGCACAGATAACAAAACAGTGGCTCCACTGTTTCAACAGTTGATAGACAAAGTCTCTCCTTCTTAGTATTCTCAAGGCTGTACAAGTTCTGATTGTTACCTCTTTCCTGGACTTTGGTCCTGACCAAGAACTTGAGTTTTGCATGCACTTTTAACAGAATTGGTTTGTTTGTATGCAGACTGTTGGTTCCTTGCCTTTCAGACAGATGCAATCTGATGTGAAGGCGTCAAACTTAATAATTAGCTGCATCCTATGACATACTGGAGGCTGGTTGGGGATGGAAGGGCGGGTGGGTGGCATAGGTCTATTCTCAAAAAATGAGCCCCAGAATTCAGACACGGAATACACAAGACAATATGCATTACATTCGAAGGGCTGACGTTAAAACAGACCATGTAGGATTGTTTTTCTCATTAGATGTTTTATTTGTTTGTTGTTTCTCTCCGCAACATTTGCTGGCTTCCTTGACCCACTTCTTTCAGCTGGTGTTACCGTGGGCGACCCTGTACTGCGAACAAAGAAACCACTGTCTGTGGAGCTTGGGCCTGGTCTCATGGGCAGTATTTATGATGGTAGGTCAGATGTAGTACGTAAATGTGGTCAGTGGCAGTCCGTGAGGGATGATCAATGGTAGTACTTGATGGGTGGTCAGTGGTAGTACTTGATGGGTGGTCAGTGGTAGTACTTGATGGGTGGTCAGTGGTAGTACTTGATGGGTGGTCAGTGGTAGTACTTGATGGGTGGTCAGTGGTAGTACTTGATGGGTGGTCAGTGGTAGTTCTTGAATCAGATTAAAAACTTTTTGTATGAGTATTATGTATTAGAAAAAAAAAATTGTTATTGTTTCTGTTTAAGTGTTGTTGAAAATGTTTAGCTGTCAGTGACCTCGTCCTGGATGTACATTTTATCTCTGATCACATTGTGTGCTAATGAAAGTAGAACATTAAACACAACAGTGCGAACGAGAGAAATTACTTTGGTTATGTCATGAAGGAGGATCACTAGAAAACATCGTGATGACTGGAAAGATCACTGATAGAAGAGGCAGACCAAGAGAAATGATGATAGATGGCTTAAGACATTGGCATGGAGGAATGTCATCAGTGGGATTGATCCAGAACATCAATGACTGAGATCTGTGGACACGCATGAATGCGTAATCCAGTTTGGCAAGGCACGATGATGATGACACTTTATGAGAGCTGTTATCTGAATGAACACAATACAGAATATGTTTAGGAAGCTCAAGGAATGATCACCAGTCTAAAACCTTGTATGGTTGCAGGTATCCAGCGTCCTCTGGAAACCATCAGTGACCTGACACAGAGCATTTACATTCCCAAGGGTATCAATATCCCAGCCTTGGACAGAAACAAGCAGTGGGAGTTTGAGCCTGTCAATGTTCGGGTAAGCTTGCTCTTGGGTCTGCTTCAGTTTTCCTGTGTATAGTCAATTTTCCTCTTGAGATTTACAGTTTGTTTGTAGATCTTTTAGTGTGGTGTCAATATCTTTATATATTTCTCTTACATGAGAAAGGGAGCGGGAGTGTTCCTATTTCTTTTTGTTTCAGTCGCACTAGAGGCGGAGTGGTAACATCTCTTTTTGTTTGTCACACAAAAGGTGGAGTAGTAACATCTCTTTTTGTTTGTCACACAAAAGGCGGAGTGGTAATATCTCTTTTTGTTTGTCACACAAGAGGACAAGTGTCAACATCTTTTTTTGTTTCAATCAAAACAATGGGGAATGTCATAATTGTTAAAGTTGGGAAACCCCCTCCCCCCTAAAAAAACACAGCATATTTGTTTTTATTTGCTTGATAACAATAGTAGACTGCAAGCCTGTTTTGAGTGTTGAATGCTGCAAGTTTACTAAGTTGGCTCTGTGTTTGCCTAGACTGACTCTGTGTTTGCCTGAGTTGTCCGGTTCTTTCTATCTTTGCCAATGGAGCCATGAGCCATCAGTGAACACAAACCAACCCTCCTAACTGTTGTTTTCTTTAACATCTTCCTTATCCTTCCAGAATTAATCTTTGTCTATAATTCACTTCCCAGTTTTTTTTTTTAAGTCTCAGTTTCTTTTGTTTTGTGGATTCCAGAGGGAGGAGTTTATAGTTTTAACATGTTCACTTGTTGTTGTGTCCTACCCAGTCCCAACTTCTTTTCGTCACTTCTGTTGGGGAAAAAAATTTAATTCTCTCTCTAAAATCTCTTGTATTATTTTAGGCCCTCTGTTCTGTGCAGGCATCAGTCACTGAATGCTTTTGATTTATAATTGTTTAGTCATTATTTTTTAGTCCATACTGCAGCACTGGTGTGGAATTAGGACAGGTTTTTTTTTATGTGCAAAATAGAATTATCTGATGTATTTTTGACTTTGTCACCAACAGGTAGGAAGCCACATCACCGGAGGAGACATCTTCGGCATGGTTCGTGAGAACATCTTGGTGAAACACAGGATCATGTTAGGCCCCAAGTTTATGGGAACTGTTACCTGGATCGCAGATCCTGGAACCTACAACTGTGTGGTGCGTAGACTACGTTATTATTTGTTAATAGAAAACTCTCTACTGGGGGAGGGGAAAACAATGGCATGCAGTAGACAATTTGTATTAAGTATTCCGAGAGCCATTATCACTGATGTCTGCTAAGGTAAGCTCCTGGAAAGCAAGCTGTCATTACTACCTGTTTGTACCGCTGTTGAGGAAGGATCTTGACTGAGTCCGAGGATTGGAGGGGGGGGGGGGGGGTGGGGGGGAGACAAAATGACACAGCAGTGAGATTATGCAACTTACCTCGAGGGGACCCAAATAGATAGGGTTCTTTTCACAGAAATCCCTTTTTTAAAAGTTCAAGCAAGAAAAATTGCTTGGATAGAGAAAAGGTTCTTGACAACAGAAATTTGCCACATCTGCGATTGCCTTAAGCAGTCTACACTGTATCAACATTGAAGTGCTGTTTTTTTTTTAGTTTACGTGCAGCAATTCTTAAACAGGTTTGATTTGTTACCAGATTGGTTTTTAGTAGTTTTTTTTTAAAGAGATAAATATTGAAAGAGCGGTTACATTTATGGTCTTTTTCTTGTTACTTTTTAACAGGAACCTGTCCTAGAGACAGAGTTTGATGGAGTCAAAACCAAACACAGCATGATGCAAGTTTGGCCTGTCCGACAAATGCGGCCGGTGACGGACAAACTGGCAGCTAACTACCCTCTGCTGACTGGTCAGAGAGTGTTGGATGCACTGTTCCCGTAAGTGTGTGGCTTTTTTTAACAACAGTGAAAAGTCTAGTGGCTAACTAAGTTATCACAGCATTGGGCTGTCATTCAGCAGACTGTCTCCATCCTCAATAAGAGATGGAGAATTGTTTTCTGTCAAGATAACAATCCTTACCTGCATGGTACATGACGATTGCATTATCCTCGTGACCTTAAATCCTTTGGCACGCTCACGACGTGCTGGTCTACCATCCTCTTTCTATTCTTCTGTCAAAAATTACCACTGCCTGTGTTTACCACTTTTGTGGGTAGGCGGGGAGATATTTAAGCTTGAGCATTTAGTGCTGTCGCCACAGACTGCAGTTTGGGATTTTATTTTTGCCCCAGCCTTACCAAGGAGTTGAACCTGGCTTTCCTGCATGGAAGGCACCGGTTCGTAATTTTTTTTAAAATCCCGTTCAACACCACTCTAAAAGTGTTGAAAGGCAGTAAGTACAGTAAAAGGTCTTTTGACTGTAGCTCTGTAGGGTTGAGTTCAGTGTTTCCTCCTCCGTGGTCTAGGACCTCATGTTTGGGTGTGGACACAGAATAAATTCACTGCCACCAACAAGAATGTCAAGAGAGGTTGACTATTTAGGTGTTTGCGATGAATGGATGTGATGGGCGAAAAGGTATAGATATTGCAGCCTAGCTGTAAACCAAAATGTACTGACCACCATTTTTTAGTGTGAGTGCAAAGGAAGAAGTCAATTTGTCAAGTTCACACAAACTTAATAACCATAGAGTGAAATGCTTGAGTTTTACACACAATTATTGTGCCCTCAATAATACACACAATTATTGTGCCCTTAATGATACACACAATTATTGTGCCCTCAATAATACACACAATTATTGTGCCCTCAATGATACACACAATTATTGTGCCCTCAATGATACACACAATTATTTTGCTCTCAATGTTAATGCCATGGTTTTTCTGACTTCAGCTGTGTGCAGGGTGGTACTACTGCTATCCCCGGGGCTTTCGGTTGTGGCAAAACTGTGATCTCCCAGTCTCTGTCCAAGTTCTCCAACTCGGACATCATCATCTACGTGGGTTGTGGAGAGAGAGGAAATGAGATGTCTGAAGTATTGAGGGATTTCCCTGAGGTGAGTCGGCTCGGAAGATTATGTCTAAAACTAGTCAGTGCCATGTGGTGTTGGTAGTCGTGTCGTGTCCGCAACCTTCTGTCTCCAGTTGATCAGACTGTCTCCCTCTGCCTATTTTCCACTGTCATAATGTATAATATTTTGGTTCAAGTATTTGGAGATGCCCCACCATAAAACAGTGATTCTGTGTATTCTTGTTTCTGTTTTGTTGCCAAGCATTCTGTCAGTTTTTTTTGTTCATGACTGTGATATTTTCATTTGTGTTTGTTATATTGTAAAGCTCGCCAGTTTACTTTGCGTTTGGTTGTATATCTTTCTGTGATACTGTGAAGCTTAATAAAAAGCATTACACAACACTTTGAAACACCTGACTGACTCTGTCACAGCTCACCATGGATGTCGATGGCAAGCAGGAGAGCATCATGAAGAGAACAGCCCTGGTGGCCAACACTTCCAACATGCCAGTAGCTGCCCGAGAGGCTTCCATCTACACGGGTGAGTTCACAGCTGCCGTTACAGCCACACATGACTGATTGTTGTCTGTGGCCATTTGATTCATTGCTTGGGTTTGAGTTTTTGGCCTCCATTAATGTTAGGCACAGAGTGTATCTGCGACTCCTTAACAAGCATAATGTAAAAAGTAATTTATTATAGATTTGCTATATTATGCCAAAAGGCATGGATATCACAGCCTGGCTGTAAATCAAAACTAGGCTAACAGTGAAGTGCTTGTGGTTCTTTAATACTGGTAACACAGAGGAACTGTTTCGATAGAGGTCATTTTTTGAAACAGTAATCAGTGAAACTCTAAACACATAAGTTGTGCAGTGGAGTGCAGTCCTCGGGAATAATCATTAGAGTGCAGTCCTCTGGAATAATCATCAGAGTGCAGTCCTCTGGAGTATTCGTTAGAGTGCAGTCCTTGGGAATAATCATTAGAGTGGAGTCCTGGGAAATAGTGTTTAGAGTGCAATCTTCAGAAACAGACGTTAATACAGTTCCCAGTAATAAGGATTACAGTCATCATCATGTAGCAGGTCCTTTGCAGAACGTCGCTATCATTACGGTCTGCCTGAAAGAAACTCACAATCTTCCTTGATGTTCAGATCTTTTAAGATGTCAATATTTATCCTCTTTTTTTGTCCAAGATATTCTGAGAATCTTTCTATAGCGTTTCAGCTCAAAAGCCCCTTTTCTCTTTCTTAAGGACAGAGACAGCCCACTACTCACATCCGTATGTAGCCACAGGAAAGATACATGCTCTCATAATTCTAATTTTTATTCCCTTGCGATTTAACCATGGTCTTTTAAGGCTGTTCAATCAAGGATTACAGTACAGTTCTAAAATTTAGAATTTAGTGTTGAGTTCATCGCCCTGGAATAATGAATGGAGAACAGCACCCAGAAATGGTTAGCACTTAAGATCAGAACTCTGTGTCAGCTACTGTTAAATGAGGTTAGAAAATTGATGATAGATATTTCAAAGGAAAATATACAGCATTCAAGTCAATGGGACAAGCATGAAGAGATAAAATGAGTAATGAAGATGTCTTAAAAGAATTTAACACATTAAGAGAACTGATTACCCACGTCAGGAGGAGACAATCTACATTCTTTGTTCATGTCACGAGAAGATGAAAGCTGGAGTACATTATGTTTGTGGGAACCGGGAGATTGAGAAAAAAGATTCTGGACAGTTTGACATGTCATAGAAGAGAACGTCTGTCAAAAATGATTGAAAGTGCCCACGACAAGGTTGTGGATAAACAGGACCACCAGTGCTGTCACAGCATGTACTGAAAGAAGAAGAAGAAGTTTAAATAGTGTGTTTTCTGGTGATGTTTTCTGAATCAATTAACAGTTTATTGTATTTTTTATATGCATTTTAGTAGTGCCAGTGGTTTTACTGTGAAATCAGACAAATGTACATATTTCTCTGCAGGCATCACCTTGTCTGAATATTTCCGAGACATGGGTCTCAATGTGTCCATGATGGCCGACTCTACGTCTCGTTGGGCCGAGGCTTTGAGAGAAATCTCAGGTCGTTTGGCTGAGATGCCCGCTGATTCTGGCTATCCCGCCTACCTGCCCGCCAGATTGGCTCACTTTTACGAAAGAGCCGGTCGTGTAAAGTGTCTGGGTAACCCAGGACGTGAAGGATCTGTCTCCATTGTGGGAGCGTAAGTAAACCTATTTTTATATTAATTTCTAATTTCTGGGGGGTTTTGGTTTTGATTATTTTTTTAAAGTTTTTATCCATCCAATCTGGACTTTAAATGTTTATCATCACCAAATGCCTTGCTGACTAGTGGGGGTTGATTATGCCTCTCAATATGTGATCCCCCGCAGCAATCACTAGCTCATATTCTGACTCCATGCCATGACAAAAAGCTGTAAAAAAATAAAAATCTAACATTGTCTACCTCTGTCTCTCTCTTTCCACAAAATGTCCATGGTCACATGTTCCAGTTTCTTTTCTCAGACGTGGCCAGATTTATGATGACTTTCTTTCTCTGATGTTTATGATTAGCTTTCTTTTGGCCCTCACCATTTTCAGAACAGCTGCGTCACTTATCTTGGCTTTCCACAGCATTCTTTGTTAAAAAAAAAGTTTCCTGCTAGGAATCGGAGGCCCTGATTGCCAGGGAGTGCACCTTCCAGGACATACATCACACCAATAACATGTTAAAATACTTCTTCTTCACTTTCTCGAGTCACTTCTTGAAATGTAGAGGAAAGATATGAGGTTCTTCTATGTGCTGTCTTCAGTGTGTGGTATTAGCTGGTCTTCATTTGTTTAAGGCAGTCCTTGATGTTGTCATTCCATTCTCTACTGGTCTTCCCCTTGATCTGTGTCCATTATCTTTTTTTTTTGGCATGACTTTCTGTTGCAGTTAAAATACACGTAATAATACAATTAGGCAATCCCATGTTATGCCAACAACAGGAGAAGACACCTGTGATAACATATACAGTAAAAAGCAGTCTATGGGATTTGTACTTTATCTCAAAGGATTTGTCTTTGTGTGTTTTGCTTTATGTTCATGTAATTTATATAGATATTCCTGAGAGATACAGCAAATATGCCTGTTAAAAAATTATGCAGTTTCCACCATAAAAATATCAGATGGCAAAAGTCATGATTACCATTGATGGCCCTAAAAGAAGTACCTGAAAAATAATGTCGTCATGTTTCTTAGAAGTCATTATTTATAATAAAGATGGACAATGGAAGGAAAATTGGCTCATAAACAGCATCCTGTCCTGAAAGCTGAAGTATTGTGGCCTTGAAAAATGTCATTGTAGCATAGAGGATGCAGTTTCTGGGGAAACAACGCGAAGATTGGCCTCCACAAATGTGGATACAGGACATTGAAGATGCATTGACTATGAAAGCACATAGGGCTGGAGAATTGTCTAGAGCAGGGCTATTCAACTGGCGGCCAGCGGGCCAAATTTGGCCCGCAGAGGCCTAGAAAATGGCCCGCGGATCATTGTCAGTTGTATTGTAATAATGATCTTCTATTCTAAGGTTTAGCTCTTTGGCCCGTAACGATTCTCATTTCCCAAATTTTGGCCCCTCGGTAAACTTAGTTGATTAGCCCTGGTCTAGAGAGAGAGAGAAACTGTCAGATATCCCATGAGGAGAGGGACTGTCAGATATCCCATGAGGAGAGGGACTGTCAGATATCCCATGAGGAGAGGGACTGTCAGATATCCCATGAGGAGAGGGACTGTCAGATATCCCATGAGGAGAGGGACTGTCAGAAATCCCATGAGGAGAGGGACTGTCAGATATCCCATGAGGAGAGGGACTGTCAGATATCCCATGAGGAGAGGGACTGTCAGATATCCCATGAGGAGAGGGACTGTCAGAAATCCCATGAGGAGAGGGACTGTCAGATATCCCATGAGGAGAGGGACTGTCAGATATCCCATGAGGAGAGGGACTGTCAGAAATCCCATGAGGAGAGGGACTGTCAGATATCCCATGAGGAGAGGGACTGTCAGATATCCCATGAGGAGAGGGACTGTCAGATATCCCATGAGGAGAGGGACGTTTTGTAAAAGACTTGCTAATTGATGATTAACTATGATGATGTTGGTTGTGTTGTATTACAGTGTGTCGCCCCCTGGTGGTGACTTCTCAGATCCTGTGACCACCGCCACCTTGAACATCGTCCAGGTGTTTTGGGGCTTGGACAAGAAGTTGGCCCAGAGGAAACATTTCCCGTCTGTGAACTGGCTCATCTCTTACTCCAAGTACGAGAGAGCTCTGGACGAGTTCTATGAGAGGAATTACCCAGAGTTTGTTCCCCTGAGAAGCAAGGTCTGTATACTGGGTGTGGGCGGAAGGTGTGTGTGTAGGCGGAAGGTGTGTGTGTGTGTAGGCGGAAGGTGTGTGTGTGTGGGCTAGAAGCTGCTGTATGGATGGATGGTGGTAGTAGATATGTAAATAAATAAATATAAACTGCTGTCTTTACGACGGAGGTTTGCAGCAATTTATCTGCTACTAACTATGGGAATAATATGAAGTTAGGTTCCAATTTCTCCCATGATGTGGCTTGCAACTGTCCTAAAGCCGTGTTTTGCTGAACTGTCCACCGTGTGAGTCAATCCACGACCAGCATCGAGGATCACATTATCAATCCATTTAATTGACTTTTAGGTCAAAGTGATGCCCAGCAGGTGTGTGTGGGTCTATACAAATAATTGTTTGTTTACGTCGAGCGTGGGTATGTGCACACATGTGCTTGTGTGCATACAGTAAAACCCTCATTACAAGAAGTAATTTGTGGCCCTTTGGAATTCATTTGTTCAAAGTCGCTTAAGAAAAACACTTGGTTAACATAAACATTTTGGTCCCAGAAATGATGTATTATCATTGTTAGTCTCCGACTAACAATTTTTTTTGTTGGTCCCTTGAAACTTGTATATTTCCTTTGGCCTCTATGTCATCTTTGATGTTGCTCCTGTTTCTGATTGTAGTTTGTAGACTTGAAGCCAACTTGACACGGACACAATATCATTGAGGGGGTGGGGGGGGCCTTTGGTTGTATTTTTTCTTCTGCTTGGTGTATTCAGGTCATGTCAAGCACCATGAGGGTCTGGAGAGAACGGTGATGGAGGGTGCAGTTTCTGGGAAAGGAGGAGGAAACCAGCCTCTGGGAAGGTGACTACAGGACACTGACAATGCAATGGCTATAAAAGCACACAGGGCTGGAGAAAGAGACTTTCACGCATGCTGTGACGAGAGCAACGTTCTGTAAAGGACCTGGTGTTTGATTGATTGTCTCTAGTTTTTGACTGTGTTTCTCTGCTTATCTTTTTTTTTTTCTATTTTATTCATAGTACTGATTGTTTGCTGTTTTGACTTGCAGTGCAAGGAGATCCTGCAAGAAGAGGAGGACCTGTCTGAGATTGTACAGTTGGTCGGCAAGGTCAGTTGTTGGTTAATCATGACCCAGATTGAACCCTCCTAGTAGTTAATCATGACCCAGATTGAACCCTCCTAGTAGTTAATCATGACCCAGATTGAACCCTCCTAGCAGTTAATCTGGACCCAGATTGAACCCTCCCAGTAGTTAATCATGACCCAGATTGAACCCTCCTAGTAGTTAATCTGGACCCAGATTGAACCCTCCCATTAGTTAATCATGACCCAGATTGAACCCTCCCAGTAGTTAATCATGACCCAGATTGAACCCTCCCAGTAGTTAATCATGACCCAGATTGAACCCTCCTAGTAGTTAATCATGACCCAGATTGAACCCTCCTAGTAGTTAATCATGACCCAGATTGAACCCTCCTAGCAGTTAATCTGGACCCAGATTGAACCCTCCCAGTAGTTAATCATGACCCAGATTGAACCCTCCTAGTAGTTAATCTGGACCCAGATTGAACCCTCCCATTAGTTAATCATGACCCAGATTGAACCCTCCCAGTAGTTAATCATGACCCAGATTGAACCCTCCCAGTAGTTAATCATGACCCAGATTGAACCCTCCCAGTAGTTAATCTTGACCCAGATTGAACCTTCCTAGCAGTTAATCTGGACCCAGATTGAACCCTCCCAGTAGTTAATCATGACCCAGATTGAACCCTCCTAGTCGTTAATCATGGCCCAGATTGAACCCTCCCAGTAGTTAATCTGGACCCAGATTGAACCCTCCTAGTAGTTAATCATGACCCAGATTGAACCCTCCCAGTAGTTAATCTGGACCCAGATTGAACCCTCCCAGTAGTTAATCTTGACCCAGATTGAACCCTCCTAGTAGTTAATCTTGACCCAGATTGAACCCTCCCAGTAGTTAATCTGGACCAAGATTGAACCCTCCCAGTAGTTAATCATGACCCATATTGAACCTTTTCATAATTTCTAAAGTAGTAAATGTTGTTTCATAGCCTTACTCCTTTCACTACTATCTGTTTTCCTTAGTTCATTTTCTTTCTTTTTCTTTCCTTCTTTCTGTCTTTCTTTCTTTCTTTCTTTCTTACTCCTTTTACTACTATCTGTTTCTCTTAGTTCCTTTCTTTCTTTCTTTCTTTCTTACTCCTTTTACTACTATCTGTTTCTCTTAGTTCCTTTCTTTCTTTCTTTCTTTCTTTCTTTCTTTCTTTCTTTCTTTCTTTCTTTCTTTCTTTCTTTCTTTCTTTCTTTCTTTCTTTCTTTCTTTCTTTCTTTCTTTCTTCCCTCTTTGTCGTTGATGTATATATTACTCTGTTCAAAAGAAACATAATATAAATGGCAGGTTGTAATTTTAAAAACTTAAATAAATGTCTAGAATTGAAACATAGAGATACACTTAGAAGAAATACTGTTAAATTGCAAATATTCATTACTTGTGTCTGCCCAGTATAGAAATAAGAAAACGGTATAATTATCACTAGCTCAAGAAGAGAGCTTAACACTCCACACAGGACACACATTTAGGAAACCTGAAAATAGTGTAACTAGAGTGTCTTTAACTGGAACCCACATGGCAAAATTGGAAGGCGGAGGCATAAAACACGGAATAGGGAAACAGATAAATGACTGGAATTACTAAAAAAGTACAAACATGAATTTAACTGATGTCTGCACCCAAAGAGATCAACAGAGAGCAGCCGTCAGATTCAGATTGAAGTCTTTGATAACCCCACAGAATCGCATGATTTCCCCCGAAAATTTATATTAGACACTGTAGTTGCACCAGGGCACTTAACACGACAGTGTGGAAAATCTGGCACCAGGCATGGCTTTCTTGTGTGGTCTAGACACTCCGACGTGTGTGGCAGAGATTTGATCTTTTTTTTGGGGTCAAACAGTAGGGCGATTGACGGTCGGATCTCTGAGCCTTGTCTATCACACATCTCAAACTTTGCTGTCCTGGCGGGACACTTGAGCCTAAGCAGCACTTGAGTAAGACTTTTGTGTTTGAGAGACATTTGAACCAAGGTTTCTCATATAGTAGGTTATTCAGCAAGGAGGCATCACTCATGTTTCAAATAAGTTTTTGATGGACTGTAACGCCCATACATTTGGGATAGGCTGATGAGAACTGGGGGATTTCTGGACACTACAATCGCTGGGGGCCTCTAACTCCTAGATCCCCTGCTAACTCGGTTTAGGTTGTTATAGGTTATTATCTGTGGAGCACGTGAAGATGTGTTAGGAGTCATGCATGAGGATTCATAAGACCATCATAGAACCTGTTGGCTCCTGAGCTGAGGTAGAGGAGTATCTTCTTAAGCACATCAGACTGGTCTTAGCTGTCACTGCACCATTGATTGTGGTATTGTGAACATGGCTTGTTTTTGTTTGTGTCAAATGTATAGTTGTTTTGTTTTTGTGTGTTTGTTTGCAGGGTTCCTTGGCCGAGTCTGACAAGATAACACTGGAGGTAGCTAAGCTGATCAAGGATGATTTTCTACAGCAGAATGGTTACTCTCCTTACGACAGGTCAGTCGTTGTTGTCAACTCTTGAGAAAATCTATACACCAGCTACTTTAGGGTCCTAAACCTATTTCTTTAGCTGCATTAGCGTAAAACCAGGTACTGGCTATTTGTAGCTAAACTGTGTAATCTTAGCTATAACCTAGCCACCTTTGAGATAACTGCTTTGGGGAAGTTCGTTTTAGTTTAAGTTTAGAGATGTACCAGGCTACATTTGGGGGAAACTGTATTAGCTACTTTTGAACAAGACACTGTAGTAGCTAGTTTTGGGAAACCGCTGTGGTAATTCTTTTTGAATGAGACTGTCTACTTGCTGCTTTGGGATACAGCTATATACTGGCTACTTTGGAGGAAACCTTTGTTTTAGCTACTTTTGGATAAGATTATATAATAGATATATTTGGGCATTTCTCTGCTAGTCTTTTTTTTAAAGACTGCTGGCTGCTTCTGGATAAACCTGTTAACTAGCTACTTTTTGATAAGACTATTTACTAGCTACTTTTGGATAAGACTATATAGTAGCTGCTTTTGGAAAAGCCTTTATTCTAGCTAATTTTTGATAAGACTATTTACTAGCTACTTTTGGATAAGACAATATACTAGCTACTTTTGGATAAGACAATATACTAGCTACTTTTGGATAAGTGTATACTAGCTACTTTTATATAAGACTATATACTGGCTACTTTTTGAAATGATTATATACTAGCTACTTTTGGATAAGACTATATACTCATTGCTTTAGGGAAACTATTAGCTATTTTGGGATTTTCCCCACTGTCATGTTGAGCTCCCAGGTGCAACTACATTACAAGTGTCTAATGTACTGGAGACAATCTTTGAGGAAAATCGTGTCAATCTGTGGGGTCCTCAAAGACCTGCTAACTACTTTAGGCTAGGGAAATCTCTGTTTTAGCTTAACTTTCATGATGTCTGCCTGCTACTTTGAGGGGGCCAACTGGCTTGAAACTGAACTGTATTGTTGAGTTATTCTGTCTTTATTAAACCAACATTTATTATCCATGAAAAAAAAAAAAGAGTATGGTTTCATCATTTATTGTGTTCTGCTTGCACAGGTTCTGTCCCTTCTATAAGACAACCGGCATGTTGAAGAACATCATTGCTTTCTACGACATGGCCCGTCACGCCGTGGAGACGACTGCCCAAAGTGACAACAAGGTCACCTTCGCCATCATCAGAGAACAGATGGGGGACATCATGTACAAGCTAAGCAACATGAAGTTCAAGGTCAGTTTTGAGAGGAATTGAGAATTTGTGAGAGGATGTTATCTGTGACTGGAAGTGGTCTGTGAGAGTTATCTGTTGACTAGATTTGGTCTGTGAGAGTTATCTGTTGACTAGATTTGGTCTGTGAGAGATATAAGTTGACTAGAACTGATCTGTGAGAGTTATCTGTTGACTAGATTTGGTCTGTGAGAGATATAAGTTGACTAGATTTGGTCTGTGAGAGTTATCTGTTGACTAGATTTGGTCTGTGAGAGATATAAGTTGACTAGAACTGATCTGTGAGAGTTATCTGTTGACTAGAACTGATCTCTGAGAGTTATAAGTTGACTGGAACTGATCTGTGAGAGTTATCAATTGACTAGAACTGATCTGGGAGAGTTATCTGTTGACTAGAACTGATCTGTGCAATTGTCTGTCGACTAGAACTGTTTTATGAGAGTTATTATTTTCCTAAAACCATTGTCAACTGTCTCTTAACTAGAACTAATATGTTTGATGATGTTATCAATTGACTAGAACTATTTTGTGAGAGTTATCTGTTCATTAGAACTGTTCTGTGGGAGTTGTCTGTTGACTAAACTGTTCTGTGAGAGCTATTTGTTGACTAGAACTAAGGTGTTTGAATATGTTATCTGTTGACTAGACCTAATATGTTTGAAGATGTTTTCTGTTGGTGCTATCATTGTTCTGACTGTTGCTGGTGTTTGAAAAACGGCCCACAATGTATAAATGTGTCTGATTGTATCTGACAGGATCCCTACAAGGACGGCGAGGCCAAGATCAAACAAGACTACGACGAGCTTCATGAAGAAATGCAGCAGAAATTTAGCAACCTTGATCTGTAATCTCAGCCAGTCAGCTTCTAGACAAGTCTGCATATTGGTGGACATGTAATCGATATGTCTGTTCTTGTTGTTTCTCTTTGTTTTGATCAGTCGACATCAAAGTCAGCCTAGGAATTGGTACTAGCAATAGCCTATTGTTGTAAATGTTTTACTTACGGTGTCTCTTTATGTAGATGGATTGTTTTCAAAGATACATGTTTCTTGGGTTCATGTTTCTAGAATTTGTTTTCATAGTTTTTAATCCTGCATAATGTACATCATGAAACAAAACTTTGTTATTGTATGTTATTTTCTAATTTTGCAACTTCAGCGACAGGAATTCATTATCCAAAGAAGAAAAACCCCGGCAGTTTTGAGGCTTTGCAAACAATTCACGGAAATGAATATACATTGATTTGTTTCTGTTTAGGCTCAACCATTGTCTCACTTAATAGAAGGCTTTTTTTAATGCAAAAAAAGAGGTTGACATATTGGAGAGTATATGTGTGTATATATGTGTGGAATGGGTTTGGTGATGGTGGAACGTAATAAGGTTGTTTTTAGCATCCTTTTTGTTTCTGGGGGGCCAGAATATGAGAAACATTTTAAATGTGAAAGCTCGGTATCTTGGTGGGTGTAATTGATTCAAGTTATAATTGGGTTTTTGTTGTGATGAATGTAAGCTCAACTTTATGTACCAGGACATTCCTTATGGTGTAATTATGAGTTGCCAGGTTGGCCTCTCGAGCCAAAATGTACCTGTTTGGCTCATATGTAACCTGTCATATTTATACTAAATGGGTAATATTAGGATTGTGTACAATACATTTAATGTTGGCATAATTTATGTCTGCTAGCAAGAGAACAATTAGTAAAACTGGCAAGGTGCTGGAATTGACACCCTGGCCAGGTTTTCTTATCCTATGTAAAAGGAAAAGGGACCTTTCACCCCACGAGGCTTATTTATCACTTCCTAGTCCCATGTCTTTATGAACCACTTGGCATTAAATTGGTGACATGAACAATGCCAGCAGCCTTTACTTTCCAGAAGACTGGGTCAGTCTGAAAGCATTGGCAAGGGAAAACAAAATCATCTACAAGTGGGTTTGAACATATGACTACCGAGCTGGCAATCTAGTGTGCTAGGCACTGAATTACTGTGGTTCTCTCCCTTTTCCTATGTAGCCATTTAATAAAATTATGGAAACTTATTTCTGTCATCGTTTTTATTGAAAGCTGTGTTTCTGCCTGTGTTGAGTGATTGTACACTCACTTGAAATTGTGTCTTTGATTTGGGTCTCTGAGGATGCAGGAGTATACAGAAGAGTTCAAATCAGAAATAAGGTCACAAAAGAAAAAGTCTGCTGGGAGAGAATGCCTTGTCAGGCCATGCCATACAAAAGTAAAAGTCCCTTTTCCACGACTCTAGGTGTATTGGAAATTTAGGACTAGACATATTTTTAAAAAAAAACTTAGTGGGCTTTGTAGTCAGCATCACATCGGCCTTCTTTAGTTCCCAGGACTGCACCTGGTACCCACTCGAGGCTGGGTTGACCTGGGAGCTAAGGTCATTTTTGAAAAAAGTCCGATACCCTACAAGGCAGACATTAAAGAGGAGAAGAACGTAGAGCATGAGGTAGACCAAGAACAATATGGAAAAATAACTTCCGCCTAATTTTACAAGAGCACGATGTGTCAGTGGTCAGAAGAGCATAAAGCAGAACCTTATATCCCCCTCCAGCCTGAAGCAGTAAAAGAGGAAATGAAGAAGAGGAAGAACGTGTTCTATACAAACATTTCTTTCTCTCTGCACTGTTGAGTGTTTGGTCGATGCAGATGCTGTTGGTTTCCTTTGAAACTGCATTTGTCTGAGAGTTAAGAAACCAATAGTCTGCACATGAATAGGCCGTATGTGCGCACAAAACTAGTCCAGAAGCAAGTACAGAGGTGAGAATGAAATCCAGAACTTTCTGCCGAAGGTTACAATAAAATGATCAATGATTCAGTTTGTCTCCCCCCCCCCCCCCCACCGAGATGCTACCTACAAGTTTATCATTCCTCTCTGAGATGAAGAATAGTTCTCTTAATATACGGCAGATCAACAAGACAGATTATATATATCCTTTTTACCTCCCATAGAAGTTAGAACTAGGGCAGACATAACGCCTACCTCAGACATGACGCCTACATCAGACGTGATGCCTACATCAGACATGACGCCTACATCAGACATGATGCCTACATCAGATATGATGCCTGCATCAGACATCAAGATAAGATATATATAAACCTGAACAAAAAGTATATTAGCAAGCTTCACAATATAACAAATACAAACAAAACGTGAATGTTGCGGCTATTGAGCCTTCATCAGCACACACATCAGACATGACACCTACATCAGACATAATGCCTACATCAGACATGGCACCTACATCAGACATAATGCCTACATCAGACATGACACCTACATCAGACATAATGCTTACATCAGACACGACACCTACATCAGACATAATGCCTACATCAGACATGACACCTACATCAGACATGACACCTGCAACAGACATGATGTCTACATCAGGCTTGACGCCTTCATCAGGCATGATGTCTACATCAGACATGACGCCTACATCAGGCATGATACCTACGTCAGACATGGCGCCTACATCAGGCATGATACCTACGTCAGACATGGCGCCTACATCGGGCATGATGTCTACGTCATACATGACACCTACATCAGACATAATGCCTACATCAGACATGACGCCTACATCGGGCATGATACCTACGTCAGACATGGCGCCTACGTCGGGCATGATGTCTACGTCATACATGACACCTACATCAGACATGACGCCTACATCGGGCATGATACCTACGTCAGACATGGCGCCTACATCGGGCATGATGTCTACGTCATACATGACGCCTACATCGGGCATGATACCTACGTCAGACATGGCGCCTACGTCGGGCATGATGTCTACGTCATACATGACACCTACATCAGACATGACGCCTACATCGGGCATGATACCTACGTCAGACATGGCGCCTACATCAGGCATGATGTCTACGTCATACATGACACCTACATCAGAAATAATGCCTACATCAGACATGACACCTACATCAGACATAATGCCTACATCAGACATGACGCTTACATCAGACATGATACCTACGTCAGACATGGCGCCTACATCGGGCATGATGTCTACGTCATACATGACACCTACATCAGACATAATGCCTACATCAGACATGACACCTACATCAGACATAATGCCTACATCAGACATGACACCTACATCAGACATAATGCCTACATCAGACATGACACCTACATCAGACATAATGCCTACTTCAGACATGACACCTACATCAGACATGACACCTACATCATACATGACACCTACATCATACATGACACCTACATCAGACATGACACCTACATCAGGCATGATGCTTACATCAGACATGACACCTACATCAGACATAACACCTACATCAGACATGACACCTACATCAGGCATGACACCTACATCAGGCATGGCGCTTACATCAGACATGACACCTACATCAGACATGACGCCTACATCAGACATGACACCTACATCAGACATGACACCTACATCAGACATGATGCTTACATCAGACATGACGCCTACACCAGACATGATGCCTACATCAGACATGACACCTACATCAGACATGACGCTTACATCAGACATGACACCTACATCAGACATGATGCTTACATCAGACATGACACCTACATCAGACATGACGCTTACATCAGACATGACGCTTACATCAGACATGACACCTACATCAGACATGACGCCTACACCAGACATGACGCCTACATCAGACATGATGCCTACATCAGACATGACACCTACGTCAGCCAGGTGTCACCTGCAGTACTATACGGGTGTGGACCACTTGCTTGCAGATTGTCCCTTCTAGGATTACAGTCTGCACGATTATCACCCTAAGGACGAGAATCCTGTCTGTACAAATCCCATCCCGATAAGTCCCGTTTAACCGTAAGCTTATGTTGCCTGGTTCAGTCTTTCGCCGCAGAACAGATAGCTGCCTGCCGGGAGCGTCACACAGAGCACGATTCCCGTAGCTCCGTTGACGATCCCTATGGATCTCGGTAAAACTCGTGAAGTGAACGGCGCCATCGTGAAACGAACCCACGACCTTCAAAGCGCGAGGCAAACGACCTGACCACTTTGCCACGGAAACGCCCTAAGCTGATGTTATAGCCCTCGACGATAAGAAACTAACCTGAAGCCCGGACTTGGTTGGGATCGTAAGGACGATGAGTGAGTGAGTGGAGTGAGTGAGTGAGTGAGTGAGGGAGTGAGTGAGTGAGTGAGTGAGTGAGTGAGTGAGTGAGTGGAGTGAGTGAGTGAGTGAGTGGAGTGAGTGAGTGAGTGAGTGAGTGAGTGAGTGAGTGAGTGAGTGAGTGAGTGAGTGAGTGAGTGAGTGAGTGAGTGAGTGAGTGAGTGAGTGAGTGAGTGAGTGGAGTGAGTGAGTGAGTGGAGTGAGTGGAGTGAGTGGAGTGAGTGGAGTGAGTGAGTGGAGTGAGTGAGTGAGTGAGTGAGTGAGTGAGTGAGTGAGTGAGTGAGTGGAGTGAGTGAGTGAGTGAGTGAGTGGAGTGAGTGGAGTGAGTGGAGTGAGTGGAGTGAGTGAGTGAGTGAGTGAGTGAGTGAGTGAGTGAGTGAGTGAGTGAGTGAGTGGAGTGAGTGAGTGACTGAGTGAGTGGAGTGAGTGAGTGAGTGGGTGAGTGAGTGAGTGAGTGAGTGAGTGACTGAGTGGAGTGAGTGAGTGGAGTGAGTGAGTGAGTGAGTGAGTGAGTGAGTGAGTGAGTGAGTGAGTGAGTGAGAGAGAGAGTGAGTGAAGTGAGTGAGTGGAGTGAGTGAGTGGAGTGAGTGAGTGACGTTCAACCCCACGTGGACCACACAATGAGCGATGAGTACCCGGTGACACAAAGTGCCTAGTTGACCATCTTCTTAGTGCACTTGTATCCATGGCGAGGCGCAGACGCCGTCTGGAGGTAACAGGTTCAATTCCCCGCACGGTAACTATAGCTTTCGATTTTTATGTTGTCTAGTTTGTTCTTCTGTCTTTCTACTTTTTTCTATGAGTGTCTATCAATACACTTTCTGTTACTTGATTAGTTCATATCACTGGCACGAGGCCTCGTTCAACCGTTAGTTTATATTAGGGCACGCGGACGAAAGCGGAAGTGAGGCTTTAAAATGACCACACACACAAAATAACTTTCTATATTGTGGCGGTGTTAAAGAGAAGTGAAGACGATAAGTGAGTGAGATTCAACAACACCAGGACATCCACCAAGCAATAGTCACCCGGTGACACAAAGTGCCACCATGCGGACCACCCATGGAGAGGTCTCAGAAACCCGCTTAACTGTTAGTTTTGACAGAAGAATGCTTAGAATACCGTGGACAGTCAAAAAGAGGAACCAGGAGGTTTTGAAAGAAGCGGCAACCCGAAGACACTTTATCACAGACATCAGAAGGAGACAGTCATCATTTTTCGGCCATGTTAGAAGAAGAAGGGAATAGAACATATTGTGACCACTGGAAAGATCTGTTGAAGGATGGATAGAGGAAGACTGTGAGCGAAGATTCTTGTCAGTCTTGTTGTATGGCATAGAGGTGTGTCAGTACACGAACTAATACATGCTGCAGGAGATTGCAGATTGCGGAGAGGCATGATCGCCCACGCCAGTCTGCAAGGCACCTGATGATGATGATATTAGGGCTCCCGACTACAGCAAGGATGGGGCTAGTAGTAGATTTTTACACCAGCAGGACATCACACAAGCGATAAACACCCGATGACACAAAGTGCCACCATGTGGATGAGGATCACCCGTAGAGAGGTCCCAGAAACCGCGTTCAGCCATTAGACCATATTTATGGCGGACTGTTTTGCGGCCCCTGACAAGAGCCAGAGTAGGGCTTCAAATAACGAAAAAGTGTATCCTAAAAAGGATGGGAAGTGATTATGTGTGAGGATGAAGTTTTAAAATAACGAAATATAAAGACAATGAAATAGAAATGAAAATCAAGTCCGAGTAATGAGAAGGGACAAATAGAGTGCGCGCACGTGGAAGGAACGATAGAGAAAACACCGTATCTCTGAGACACTGTACATTATGACCCAAGTACTTCAGGCTGGGAGACAACTCCCGTATCTCCAGGTGCTGGTACTTGCAAGACCATTACGTATATGACAGGGGCAATAACTGACCTAAGTAATTTATTAAATAAATTACCTCCCTTCTTCACAGCGTTAAACTTTGTTAACGGAGCAAACAGTAATCTCTTTTCGTACTAAGCAACTCCCCAGGCGTCTCTGGGCTAGACTTACATCTAATGCATGCAGTTATTGTATTTACTTGTGTCGCAGGCTAGATGACACAAATAAAACACTTGGGCCCTTACGAAATGTTTATGGGTGGGGTGGCAACACTCAAGTGGTTGAAGCCCTTTTTAAGTTTGAAAATTGTCAAAATTCACAGTTGTGTTGATTAGGAAGTGTTAATTGTTGAAAGTAAACTGTGTCCACATTTTGTTTAAAAAGTGGACTATTTGATTTGAAAATGGTCGAGTTTAGTTTTTAAAACATCATGAAAGTTCAAGTTTAAAGTGAAAACTGATAATCACGAACGAACGAACTTTATTTTCAAAGGGTCACCACTGTTTGGAGAGACTTATGCAGCGAGGAGTGACGAGGGGATCTGGTCGATACTCGACGTTCAGAGAAAAGGCAAGACGGACGTATAATCAGACTGCTACTGACACCATTGGTGTTCAACTTCAGCGCTGACTTCTGAAGACGGGGACGGAGCCCTTATGGGAAAGTCCTGAGTTCTGAAATCAACTCAACATGATTTGATGTAAAGCGCGGGAACACGAGACTTGAGAACCAAAGCCATCTCCAACATGGGCCGTGGGGCTGATGACGTCAGCTTGGCGTGACGTCACTATCCTGGGCTAACGATACGTCCCATTTTCACTCTGACAGTCCCGTTTTTTTTTTTCGGTGTGTTACCTGCCGTCCCCCGAGTAGTCCCCAAAAGATTTCTAAAGGTTTCCTACCTCCAGAATTGCATTTTCTAGGATTACCAAGGCTTTTTTTTCTAGTGGTATGCAACATTACGCAGTGCCACCACCTTTTATGTATATTCTACAGCTCAGCTGTAACAAGCCCTTGTCACAAGGAAGTAAAACGTAAAGCACTTTTCCCCCGCCTTCAGGTCCATCGGGCATATAGGGCTAGATCCTATTTTATAGATCAATCGGCACTCGGTGTGTGATGTGGTCAGCATCATACGGCCACCTTTACTTCCCGACTTTACCTCCAGCCCATTTATTATTGGGTCGACCCTCGAGCCAAGGTCGTTTTTAAAAATAGTCTGGCTCCTTCGGGACCTGAACCCACGACTTTCGGATCGGCTGGCGAGCGTCTAGACGTCTGTAGCTGCATATTTGTAAAAGTTACTTTAGGGCGAGTACCGGCACCTTTTTGTCTTAACAAAAAGCCATTAGGATTAACACCTCAGGGATGAGATGTAAATTTCTGGGCGGATGGATAGAGCAAAGGTGGGTGCGTATAAGAGTTAGGTGGGTGCATGTAAAAGTTAGGTGGGTGAATGTAAGAGTTAGGTGGGTGCATATAAGAGTTAGGTGGGTGCATGTAAGAGTTAGGTGGGTGCATGTAAGAGTTAGGAGGTGCATGTAAGAGTTAGGAGGTGCATGTAAGAGTTAGGTGGGTGCATGTAAGAGTTAGGTGGGTGCATGTAAGAGTTAGGTGGTGCATGTAAGAGTTATGTGGGTGCATGTAAGAGTTAGGTGGGTGCATGTAAGAGTTAGGGGGTGCATGTAAGAGTTAGGTGGGTGCATGTAAGAGTTAGGTGGGTGCATGTAAGAGTTAGGTGGTGCATGTAAGAGTTAGGTGGTGCATGTAAGAGTTAGGTGGGTGCATGTAAGAGTTAGGGGGTGCATGTAAGAGTTAGGTGGTGCATGTAAGAGTTAGGTGGGTGCATGTAAGAGTTAGGTGGTGCATGTAAGAGTTATGTGGGTGCATGTAAGAGTTAGGTGGGTGCATGTAAGAGTTAGGTGGGTGCATGTAAGAGTTAGGTGGGTGCATGTAAGAGTTAGGTGGGTGCATGTAAGAGTTAGGTGGGTGCATGTAAGAGTTAGGTGGGTGCATGTAAGAGTTAGGAGGTGCATGTAAGAGTTAGGTGGGTGCATGTAAGAGTTAGGAGGTGCATGTAAGAGTTAGGAGGTGCATGTAAGAGTTATGTGGGTGCATGTAAGAGTTAGGTGGGTGCATGTAAGAGTTAGGAGGTGCATGTAAGAGTTAGGAGGTGCATGTAAGAGTTAGGTGGGTGCATGTAAGAGTTAGGTGGGTGCATGTAAGAGTTAGGTGGGTGCATGTAAGAGTTAGGTGGGTGCATGTAAGAGTTAGGTGGGTGCATGTAAGAGTTAGGTGGGTGCATGTAAGAGTTAGGTGGGTGCATGTAAGAGTTAGGAGGTGCATGTAAGAGTTAGGTGGGTGCATGTAAGAGTTAGGGGGTGCATGTAAGAGTTAGGTGGGTGCATGTAAGAGTTAGGGGGTGCATGTAAGAGTTAGGAGGTGCATGTAAGAGTTAGGGGGTGCATGTAAGAGTTAGGAGGTGCATGTAAGAGTTAGGTGGGTGCATGTAAGAGTTAGGGGGTGCATGTAGCATGTAAGAGTTAGGGGGTGCATGTAAGAGTTAGGTGGGTGCATGTAAGAGTTAGGGGGTGCATGTAATAGTTAGGAGGTGCATGTAAGAGTTAGGGGGTGCATGTAAGAGTTAGGAGGTGC